TTCTAGCTATATTTATGTCTCCCCTCCCGAAGGGGAGACATATTGTTTTGTCGATTTTCTTTTTCTTCTTCTTATTCTTCTTCTTCATCCAAATTTCGTCCAGGCCGTAACTTGAATACCCTTTGACCTGAAGACTTCATACTTGGAACTTAGATAGATGACATTAAAGCGGAGTGTCCGCCACCAAAATTTTTTACCTTGATCTATATATAAGGTCAAGGTCAAACTTTTACATTAAAATACAGTTTTGGCAATAGCTTGAGTACCCTTTAATATTAGGACTTCAAACTTAAAATATAGAAAGAAGACATTAAATACAAGATGTAGTGCACCTAAACTTTGACCTTGACCCCTTTCTATGTTCAAGGTCAAATAAAGAAAAAAAAACATGATTTTAACATAATTTTAGATACCGTAGACATTTAGACTTCAAACCTGGAATATGCAGAAGACATATAGGAGAAGGGTGTATGTGATCAAAGTTTTGACCTTGATCCAATGTTTATTGGGGCAAGGTCAAACTTTCACAACAAAATAGAGTTTAGGCCATAGCTTGAATATCATTTGATATTAGGACTTCAAACTTAAAACATAGAAGGAAAACATTAAATACATGATGCAGTGCACAAGAACTTTGACCTTGACCCTTTTTTGTTCAAGGTCAAATATAGAAAAACATGATTTGACCACTTCTTGAGATATCTTTGAGATTAAGACTTCAAACTGGGAACATGCAGAGGACACATTGGAGAAAGTTTATGTGATCATATTATATGACCTTGATCCAATATAATTAGGTCAAGGTCAAATTTTCACATCTAAATAGAGTTTAGATCATAGCTTGAGTAACCTTTGATATTAGGACTTCAAACATGTAACATAGAAAGAAAACGTTAAATACAAGATCTGGTGCACAAGGACTTTGACCTTGACCCAAGGTCAAATAGAGAAAAAAAACATATTTTGAACATAACTTGAGAATCTTTTGACATTAAGACTTCAAACTTGTAACATGCAGAGGACACTTAGATGGAGAGATTATGTGATGAAAATTTTTGACCTTGATCCAATTATTATTAGGTCATGGTCAAACGTTCATATGAAATATATTTGAATTGATAACTTGATACCTTTCTTGACATTAGGATTGTTATTTGGAACAAGTAAAGACACCTTTAAGCCTAAATACACTACATCAATTTTTTTTACCTTGACCATTTTCTTCTTTTAAGATGAAATTAAGAAAAAAGCAAGACCAGACAATAACTTTAGATCCTATAAAAGACTGGAGAGATGCACTGCATTATTCTTTTTCACCTTCATAGTAAAACTGCATTTGTTAATGTTGTTAAAGAAGGGGAGACATGTGTTTTTTGTTAAAAAAAACAATACCCACTAGTTTAATTAATTTTTAAGTTTTTTAATGCTATATATGACATATAGATATAATTATATTATCATCTTTTCAATGTCTGAATCAGCTTGTTTTTAAACTGTCATTGCGGTCTTTGTTCATTACCCTGTAAATGAGCGCGGCATTCAGTACTTCTGAGTACTTTGATTGTATTTTGGGAATGCCAGTATAAACCTCGCTTTGATAACAATATCGTGTTTCCCGAGAATTTATGGCTTCTCTTCTAGTTCAGTTGTGTATTTTCCTGATTGGAATAGATGATAGTTCTAATTTCGTTTTGTTAATGTGTTGTTCTACAGTATTACAAGCCAGTTAGGGTTTGTGACCCGAAGGTTTTCTGAAAGGATGTATAGTGGAGTTTTCTCCATTATCACAGTGATACTTGCATCTGAGTTTGCAAAGTCATTCAAAATAACTTTTTAGATACTTCTTTTTGTGGAGTTGGTATGAATTTTAAGTCCTTGGAAAGTGCAGAGTGTTCGTGACTATTGATTTTGTACTAGGAAAAATTAAGTACTTATTTCTGCAAGCGACTCTCATCTGTTTTGTACGCATTTTTCATCTGAAGTCAAGAGTTCTGAGATCTGTTAAGATTTTTCTAATTTTTCCAGCCTATTAAAACATCCTACCATTTTAAACAAGAGGCCCACGGCCTTACAGGTCACCTGAGCATTATGCAACAACTTTCCAGTTACAGTGTATTGAATTTGATTCATTTACATGTTTTAAGCCAGATGCTATATGGCATTCACAATTTTGAAAGAGCACCATTGATCATCATAACAATAAACGTAGCAGTCGCTTAGCTTGGTTACTGAATACCCATATGCAGGGTAGGGGAACAAAAATGCACTCCAACGAATCAGTAATATTCATCAATAATCAGTAGTGCCCCTATCACTCTGACATAAACCCCTAACCCTAGGTTGCACAAATTTTTAAAAGGCACCCTTAAAATTGCCTATCAAAAAGTAAAGAAATGTTTTATAAATACAAAGTACCAGATTTCAAACAATTAATTCATTTTCAGTATATAAGTAGAGCCCCCCCCCCCCCCCCTGAGCCTGGGGCCTTGAAATTCACAATTCTGCAAGATTAGGGCCCTTGCTCATCATAGCTATATAGGTAGTTCATCTGCTTCATACCCAGAGACAGAGAAGAAAATTTTCAAAGATTTAATGTATTTTCACTATATAATCAATAGAGCCCCACCCTAACACCAGAACCCCTGACCCTTGGGCCATAGAATTCACAATTTTTGTAGAGGCACTCTTGCTCATCATAACTATACGCACTTAGTTGGTTTATTTAATACCTAGGAGCAGAGAAGAAGATTTTCAAAGAATTCATGTGAATTCACTATAATCAAAGAGCCCCCCCCCAACACCCGAACCCTTGATGAAAGGGCCATTAAATTCACAATTTGGTTGAGGCACACATGCTCATCATAACTATGCACTTAGTTAGTTTATATAATACCTAGGAGCAGAGAAGAAGATTTTTAAGGAATTCACATATTTTCACTATATAATCAATAGAGCCCCCCCCCAACACACACACCAGAACCCTTGACCCTGGGGCCATAAAATTCACAATCTTAGTTGAGGAACACTTGCTTATCATCACTATGTACTTAGTTTATTTGATACATAAAAGCAGAGAAGAAGATTTTCAAAGAATTCATGTATTTTCACTTTATAAACAATAAAGTAACCCCCCCCCCCCCGCCCCACCACCAGAACCATTGATGCTGGGGCCATAAAAATCACAATTTTTGTAGAAGCTCTCTTGCTCATCATAACTATGCACTTAGTTAGTTTATTTAATACCTAGGAGCATAGAAGAAGATTTTCAAAGATTTCATGTAATTTCACTATATAATCAATAGAGTCCCCCCCCCCCCAACCACAGAACCCCTGACCCTGGGGCCATAAAATTCACAATTTTGGTAGAGGCACTCTTGCTCATCATAAATATGCATTTAGTTAGTTTATTTCATACTGCGGAGCAGAGAAGAAGATTTTTAAAGAATTCATGTAATTCCACTATATAATCAATGAGCCCCCCCCCCTCCAAACACCAGAACCCTTGACCCTGGGGCCATAAAATTCACAATTTTGGTAGAGGCACTCTTGCTCATCATAACTATTTACTTACTTGGTTTATTTAATACCATGGGGCAGAGAAGAAGATTTTCAAAGAAATCATGTATTTTTACTATATAATCACTAGAGCCCCACCCTAACACCAGAACCCCTGATCCTGGGGCCATAAAATTCACAAATTTGGTAGAAGCACTCTTGCTCATCATAACTATGTACTTAGTTGGTTTATTTAATACCCAGGATCAGAGAAGAAGATTTTCAAAGAAATTATGCATTTTCACTATATACTTACTTAGCCCCGCCCTAGCACTAGAACCCCTGACCCCAGGGCCATGAATTTCACAATTTTGGTAGAGGACTCAATGCTAATTACAATCATGCAAATAGTTTGACTGCTTGATGTCCAGGAGTAAAGAGGAAGATTTTTAAAGATTGCATTAATTTTAGTGGTTTTGGCCCCACCCCTCAGGCCCCAGGGGGGGGGGGGCAGGGATCATGAAATTCACAATTTTTGTTCCCCTTCACCCATAGATGCTTTGTGCCAAATTTGGTTGAAATTGGTTCAGTGGTTGCAGGGTGAAGCTGAAAATGTTCAAATGTTAACACACGACGGACGACGACGGACGAAAACGGATAGCAATAGGTCACCTGAGTTTATTGAGGTGACCTAAAAAAACTCAATGTTAAAAACTTCGTGGATTGATTGATTGATTGTATGATGTTTAACGTCCCTCTCCAGAATATTTCACTGATATGGAGACGTCACCATTGACAGTGAAGGGCTGAAAATTTGGGCCTATGCTCGGCACTCAGGGCCGTTGAGCAGAGAGGGATCTTTATCGTGCCACACGTGCTTCACAATAAATCGGTTTATACGGTCTCATCCGAGGGACAGCCCCATTTATTCGCCTTTTACAACAAGCAAGGGGGTACTGAGGACCTATTCTAACCCGGATCCCCACAGGAAAAAAAACTTCCTGGAGAGTGCAAGTCTTAAAATTCCATATATTAAACGACTTCTCGTTGTATTCGAGGAAACATGCTGCGACGGGTTGTCTTTGGACGATAAAACTGAAGACAGGAATACCACGTGGTTTTAGATACACCTCATTCTTATGAAGAGACCCATGAATATTGAGGCCAAATTTTTAAAGGCATACGAATAAGGTATACAAGTATAAAATTATATTCTAGTCTTAAATTGACAACACAAGTTATATTGGTTATTACTTTAACTTAAGTGTAAATAGTGAAAAAAAAGTTTTAGCACTTACATGTAGTAGTTTTAGAGTGAACTAAAGTTCCAATCATTTTAATTTGAAAGCGTTATTGCAACAATTAAATCACTACAGGATTGTCTTAACACTATTAGTGTTCATAAGGTCTCCTCCTGAATTGTCTGCTACAAAACATGGTCCCGCGCATTATGGCTTGTTTGAGTTGTTTAATATCGATAGTTTAGTTTGAGTCGTTTGAATGGGTTTATTCTCCGAACGGCTACTGAAATAAAACAACAAGTCATTATCACACTCAATTAAGGGGCCCTCTAAGGGGTACAGGTAGACTTACCTGTATGAATAATCAACCAGAATTTAAATAAAATAGAACAAGTTTTTATTTCATTTTTTTATTTGAGCAGTGAGCACTGGTATAAATAAATATTTTGTATGCATATTTTTAAATAAAAATATTATATACACAAACATTTTTAAAAATATAAACTATATTAAAGTTCTATTGTATAGCAGCACTTATTTTTATATTATGAATAAAATAGCACTGTTTCACTTTCATATCACACATATTTACAATATTAACAAGTCATTTAGTCTTCATGTTTCATCACAAATAAGGGATCACTGTCCGAGGTGCAGAAGTTCAGATGCCGAGTCTGTGTAGGTCATAAGATCTATGATGCCTTGCTGATACCTTTCTTTCAGTAGCTGCAGTCTTCTCTTTATTGTTGCATACTTCTTCGCTGGAGGTCTAATACTTCCGCCGGCTTCTCTCTGAATCTTTTGAATCTCTTTTGCATTCTGTATGTCTTTGAACATCTTCACCACGACGAAGATGTTGGGATGTGCATGCTGTGCAATTCTTTTGAGTTTTCCATGCCATCCTTCCAGGCTGTTGTTGGTCCGTGGTCCCTCCGTTCCGAAATGATTCCACAGAAGTCTGTCACCGTTCACCCACTGTTCTGTCACATAGTCTGTAAAGGATTCTGTAGCTTGTGTCAGGTCAGCTTCATCTCTGTCTTCTAGGGCTCTGAACCAAACGTCTTCAATGCAGTCAAGTGGAACAAGGGGAAGAACTGCTGCTCGTCTAACCAGAGTCTTTACGTCGTCGTCTTCTTTGTAGGGAATCTGTAGTCCTGAGTGTTGAGCTTTTCGCCAAATAGCTTGTGTGAAGTGGAAAAAACAACCCTTGGTTGTTACACCCGGAAACACTTCTCTGATGGAGTTGTGGACTGCTGTCTCGAAGTCTGCTAGAGCACAGGTAGGTAGAAACTGTAGGCCAAGGTCGTTGATCTTATCTTGAAGATGGGTGAAGAATCTTGTATAGATGGCTTGACTCTTTCCTGGTAGCAGGGCATACACAACAGGTGTCATCACATCATCACTCAGGATATGAATGGTGTAGATCTGGTGGAATAGGCTGGGGCAGGTGTAGAATGTCCCGTCACAGAAAAAGGTCTCTGAAGCTGCCAGGTCTCGTAGATTGTCCGTTGTTGCGAATGCTAGGATCCTACTGTTGTGAACGGTGTCGTCTAGAAGAAGGAAATTTTCCCCTGTCTCTGTTTCTGTCCATTTCCCCTCAAGTCGGATGTCAGCAGCTGTCTTTGGAAGTGGTGGAGTCTGTTTCCGGCGAGCTCTGTAAAGTGATGACCTGGCCGTGTTGAAGGTTGGCAATCCCTCGATGACTTCTCTGCTGGTGTCATCCCACTCGTTGTCTCGCAGCTTGTTGAGTTCCTCTGTGAAGATTGAAGGTATGGGTTTCACTTCTTCTGTGCATCGCCTTGAAATCTGGTTCATGATCTGTTTGGCAACAACCTCGGTGTGATCCGCAGGATGGGCGTGGAGCTGTCTTCCGAATCCTACGGGAACGTTGTTTTCTGTGGAGAGGCCTGCTGAACATCCTGCAACAACACATCTCCAGAAGAGCTTGGTGTCTGTTCTTCGGTGAATTCTGTAGATGAAACCTTGAAAGGATAAGTTTTGGCCGCCTCTTCTGTTTGTGATGAATTTCACGTTGAGCTGTGCATTCGCCATTGTTGATGGGTGAAGAATGATGCAACTTCATTTCCATCCTTGTATATATACTGTTCTGTAGCTTGTGTTGTTCTTGTATTTACAGCTTGGACTGCATCATTAAGCAAGTTCAGCACTTCATGTCCATCCTTAAATAGATACTATTCTGTAGCTTGGGTTGTTCTTGTATTTACAGCTTGGACTGCATCATTAGGCAGAACAGTTCAGAACATCATTTTCTATGACACTTATTGAGATAGTTTTGCCTATTAAAATTTCAAAGTGAACTGATATCAATTATCAGGTGCTTCATCAATTAGCTTATTAACTTAGGAATTCCTTAAAAATCAAAGTGATCTGTTTTTATCTCGAATCATCTATATTTAATATGAAAATTAAAACATAACTTTTGTATTTTATGATGAGTTAAAAGACTGTTTTAATAATTAAAAAGGATGAATAAATGAATTAATTTAGACAAAATTTTATATAAACAATTTATTTATCATACATAAAAATGTTTTTTTTTTAATGTGTTAATTTGATATTTAAAAGATATTGAAAATTTAGCACAAACAATTGTTTGTAAATTCTCAATCAATACTATTGAAAAGTTTGGAAAAAATAAAATTAAAGGTACCAAAAAAAAATAAATTATTTTCTGAAATCTTAATTTTATCTATTTATATTATTAATTCATTATATTTTTGAAAAAAAAAATTGAATGAAATAAAAAAAATTCAATAAAATTGAATGAATATATCTGATTTATAAATTATTGCTTATCCAGGAAAACACAGGTAAGTCTACCTGTGCCCCTTAGAGGGCCCCTTAATTGAGTGTGATAATTACTTGTTGTTTTATTTCAGTAGCCGTTCGGAGAACACACCTTTGAATGGTGTGCTCCTGAAAGTCTTATTTTTAACTATCGATAAAGATAGTTTAACACAGTTACATACCATGCTCGTAGGGTTTACTTGTTGAATGATTAAGAAAAGACTATTTATAATGAGATAATTTTGAAACATTCTCAAAGTAATGCTTCTGTTACGTAATTTATGGAGCAATTACATTATTTTCTTTATTTGGTATTTTATTTGACATATTTTCATATACATAACGTATTAATTAATTTGTTATACATGGGGTACTTCTAATTTAATAGTCATAATTACATAATTGAGCAATACCAAATGCATGAAGCCAGATGTTTGAATCCTCTGTTTTGTTATAATTTTTTCTGTATCTGACTGCAAGATATCAATAACTGTTAATTGCTAATCAGCATGATACTTCTGGCTAGTGCTGACCAAGATAAAGCTGTTTATTAATTTTTTTTCAGAGATACTACCATAGTACAAAACATTATATGTACAACTTAAAATGATATTTAATTACAAGGGTAGTATGTTTTGGATACTGGGTATACCATCAAACCAAATGAAAAAAATTAAATATTACTTAGTTCATAGAGGCATTGTTATAGTGTTTCTCAAGCACAGATGTTTTTTTTAATGTTTGACAAAAAACAAATACAAACTAAATAAGTTAAAACAATTCTTTAATATTGAACGAATGCAAAACGTTATGCATTAACGGCTGTATAACTAAGTAAAAAATAAAAAAATATATATATACACTGAGCCAACTCGGCCATTGAACAATCTCCTGACCAGCATGTATATTTAGTTTCAGTTTGTTCATCCTGTCCCTGAAATCCACCTGAGCGGTTGGAATCGTCCCAAGCCCGGAACCCCACTTTTAAGCCCAATTCCATAAATTTTACTCCTCAAATTGAAAGAGACCATCCCTGTCTGTTGTAGCTGAAGAGTTAATAAAAATTCCTTAAACATGTAAATATGGAAATGAAATTGAGCATGATATACCAAATTTGAAAGTTTTGAGAACGTCGAGGTTACTTTATTAGACAATGAAAGACACTCAAGCTTTTTAATATGTTTACCAATTGCATATACACATTTACTATGTACGAGTGTTGTTAAAAAAGTTTAAGGACAAGTTATATTGTGAGTGTGTTATTTCTATGAAGTCGATTAAGCTAGTCAGTTAATCTTAACCTATTTTCTGATAAATATATTTATTATTTTGATAAAACATATCTCATGAATCATGATACTTTTTTGCAAATGGACAACATTTTCTACGTGCAGATAGTAATCAACAAAACATAGGTAATAATTAGACATTGAACATTCTTCACACACTGCACAATAGATTTTCCGTAAATCAAGAAGAATTCAGTAAATCACTGTTCGCAAACTTTTCTAATAACCCTCAAATAGCGATGCAGGTGTTGCATACTATAACATATAGGGTTTTAAGGTTAATATGATATTCATATTAGCAATTTTAGGATATATATGATCGTGATACATAAAATGATGCCTTGCACCAATAGACCACTTGTACTTCTTAATGCTCATCCATAGGTACAGAAGTAAAGCGGTTAACACAATCCAGGTAGCAAGCAGGAGATATAAAAGTTCCTTTATAAGTGCTACAATACATATAAATCACATTCAAAATTAGTCACTTGTGTGAAAGAACAAGGTTCACTTATGGCCTTAATTAGCCCTGTGAATTTCTGAAAAAAATGGAACTGCTTTATTTTCTCATTTTAATTAGTATTGCATTAAGTATCATTTAAAACTATCCTGATTGCATATCTATCAGAATTGACACAATTTTCCGGAGTGATTTTATCTCCTGTTTCTTTTTGGTGTCGTTCTGGAAGTCATCGATCACCTTTTTTCGATTCCTCGAGATCTTTTTGTATACAAGCAGATAATTTTTTCTGGAGTTCTTTGATATTCTGGTCTTTATCTAAGAGCCGCACTAGAGACGCTTGCCGCTCACGCAACCATTTGTTTTGGTAATACTGGGCGTCGGATTTGTTAGATGCTGCCTGGTCCCTGAATTTTTTAACTTGGGTCTCCAATATAAAACACACTGGTCACAACATGGAATATTTATTAAACTGACTTCCGGTCATACAGATACAAAACAAGTCGTACATAAAACATTCGTAATATATGACATCCCCCCTTTTATAGATAAAGGACAATTAGACAAATTCAAAACTGATGTACATAGTGACTGACTGACTAGAAGTTAATGATAATGACTAGAGCTTTAAATTCACAGTTTGTTTGTAAATGAATGTCAATAGCTGTAAATAAAGAGATGTCAAATCATCAAAATTGAAATAGTTTCACAACCGTTTTAAAAAAAACAACATTATCAACACATTTTGTACATGTAATACAAATACTGAGTTCTACAATAACGAATCTAATATTATGCTGCATGCATCACAAACTAAAATTCTGAACAATTGGTATTGATCATTTCACAAATTCACTAATTGCTTATTTCACAAAATCCTTGAATTTGGATGGACACACCACATTCCTCCCGGATCTAGTGCAGGTGGTACTCGGGACGGATATTGTCGGATTGGACGGTTCAACTTCCTGAGACGGTTTCTCGATAGCGGTTTGTCCAGCATTCGATTGGAACGGTTCATTGGATTTCTCTGACGGAGGAGGGAGAATCGGTTCATCAACTTCAGGTTTGTCTGGGAACGTCGCAGAGGTTGGTCTGATATGACGTCTGTTTCGTCGGTACCGTTTTCCGGACTGTGCTTGGAGAATATACGATCTTGGAGAGCTGTGCTGTTGTACGACTACGGCGGGAGTCCATTTGTTGTCGTGTCGCATAACTGTGGTTTCTCCAGGATAGAGATCACGTAATTCCTTTCCAGCATGAGCATCGTAGTATAGTTTTTGCTGGTATTTGCGAGTTTTCAGTCGCTCTTGAACTTCTTGCATGCCAACAGAGTTTGGTTCCAACAGAGGTGATGCTACAGGTAAGTCGGTTTTCAGACGTCTGTTGAAGAATAGTTGTGCTGGAGACTTTCCTAGCATGTCGATGGCAGTATTTCTGTATGCAAGTATGGCTTTGTATGGATCAGTTGATTTCCGCAACAGTTGTTTTACTGTTTGGACAGTACGTTCTATTTGTCCATTCGCCTGCGGGAAGTGCGGGCTTGTTGTCTTGTGCACAAAACCATAGTCTTTAGCAAATTCTCGGAAATTTGCAGAAGCGAACTGCGGTCCGTTGTCGGATATTAGCTTGTCTGGTATCCCGATTCGAGAAAAAATACCTTTCAGGTGTAGGATGGTGTTGTCGCTGGTTTGGTTTTCAAGTTTTGCAAATTCAGGCCACTTTGAAAAATGATCAACACATACCAAGTATGAATGTCCTTTGAAATCAAATAAATTAGTTGATATGATGGACCATGGACGAGATGGTGTTTCTGTCTCTAGCATTGGTTCTTTGGGGTTTGATTTGCTGTTCAACGCACAAATTGAACATCTTTCAACTACCTCTTGAATCGATGATGTCATTCCTGGCCAGTATAATGTTTCTCTAGCTCTACTTTTGCATTTCACTGTTCCAAGGTGAGAGCTATGTATACGATCTAGCATTTCTTTCCGTAGTGTTGATGGTACAATGATTTTTTGTCCCTTAAACATCAGTCCATCGATACATGTAATCTCGTCTCTGAATGGCCAGTAAGGGTAGGTTGAGTTCGGTATGCTATCTTTGGTGTTGGGCCATCCCGATTTTACAACGGCCTGTAATGTTTGCAGTTCTGGGTCGTCATGAGTAGCTTGCTGAAAGCGTTCATACTGTTCTGGAGACATTGGTAAGTAACTGATTGAGTTAATTTCAATGTCGGGCATAAGCTGTTCCTTTGTTTCATTCATGAAGGCTCGGCTGAGGGTGTCCGCAATGAATATAGTCTTGCCAGGTTTGTAAGTAACTTCTATGTCATAACGCTGTAGTGTGAGCAGAAGTGATTGTAGTCGAGCAGGTGCTTAGTAAAGCGGTTTACGAAATATTGATTGGAGTGGCTTATGATCACTTTCCACCAATACGTGACGACCAAATACATATTGGTGAAATTTTGTACATCCGTACGCAATGGCCAACGCCTCCTTTTCAATCTGGGCGTAATTTTGTTGGCTTTTTGATAAAGCACGTGATGCGTAGGCAATAGGCTGACCTTCTTGTATGAGTGCTGCACCGAGTCCCTTCGAGCTTGCGTCCACTGTTAGTACAAGTGGTTTCTTTGGGTCGTAATAGCGCAAGACAGGTGTGTTGCTCACAAGGTGCTTCAAGGTCTTGAAGCTGTCTTCCTGTGGTTTCTCCCATTGAAAGAGAATGTCCTTTTCCAGGAGTGATCGGAGTGGTGCACTCGCTTCAGACAGGTTTGGTAGGAATTTTCCAAGGTATTGTATGAATCCTAGGAATGTCTGTAGTTCGGATACATTCTGAGGCGCAGGCATGTCTTTCACAGCGCGAATCTTCTCAGGGTCAGGCTGGATCCCTGCAGAGGTAAACACGTGACCTACATACGCAATGTGGTCTTTTCTGAACTGGCACTTCTCTGGACTCAGTTTTAAGTTGTAGTCCCGAATTCGGTTCATGACGGCTTTCAATCTTTGGTCATGCTGCTGCCTGTCTTTACCCCAGATCAAAATGTCATCTGTAATCGCTTCACATCCCTCTAGGTCTCTGACCATCTCTGAGATTGTGCGCTGGTAGATTTCTGACGCTGAGCTGATACCAAATGGTAGCCTCGTGAATCTGTAGCGTCCATAGGGGCTATTGAAGGTGCAGAGTTTTGAACTCTCCTCTGTGAGTCCAATCTGCCAAAAGCCGGATGTTGCGTCAAGTTTCGAAAACATCCTTGCTTCAGTAATCTGCTGTGTGACATCTTCTATTGTCTTAAGAGGATAATGTTCTCTGCGTATAGCTTTGTTGAGATCTTTGGGGTCTATACAAATGCGTAGTTTTCCATTCGGTTTCTGGACGGTAACCATAGAGTTGACCCATGCTGTAGGTTCTTTCTGCGGAACAATAACACCCGCTTGTTCCATGCGATCAAGTTCATCTTTGATCTTGTCACGGAGCGCAATTGGTACACGACGAGGTGGGTGAATTACTGGAGGTATTGACGGGTCAATTTTGATGTCCTGTTTTACTGGCAAGAGTCCTAGACCCTTAAATACATCTCCATACTCTGACTGAATATCCTTAGGAATGTTCGTTGTTTCTACGTGGTCAAGTTTGTAGGCTCGTTTTACAAGTCCCATTGTTGAACAAGACGCAGATCCAAGAATTGGTTCTGAAGGTAAGTCAACAACTTCAAATGCAATGTCACTTGCACGATCTTGATATTTGCACTGCAGTACAATATTACCAACAGATTTGACTCTGTGTCCGCTGTATGACTTCAGATTTGGTTTCAACGCAGACAGTTGGTCACAATTCAGTCCTAGCTCCTCAAGTGTCGTCAACGGTAACACATTGCATTTTGCACCTGTGTCCAATTGGAATCGAACGGTTTTGTCGTTGATTTCAATGGCTTCACTCCATTCTGTATCCACCATGTTAACGTCGGCTGTTATATAACCAAGATATAACTCTTCACACAAGTCGTTTTCACTATCGGAAGAACAAGTATCAACGGCATTCACACGTTTGGCTTTCGAATGGCATTTTCTCGCAAAGTGATCCAAATGACCACATTTATGGCATTTGTTTCCCTTGGCAGGACACACTGAGGTATTGTGTTCATATCCGCATCGCGAACATTCATTTGTCTGTGGAAGTTTGTTATGATGCCATTTTTTCTTTGAATATTGATTTCTGTTTGTGTGAGCTTTCTTGCGTGGATTAGCAAATTGTTGCGCAGATTTTGGTTGCTCGGAATGCGACTTCTTGTGAATGACATGTACAGATGCATCTTCCCCTGAGATCTGTCTTGCTTGAGTCGTTGATTGTTCGTGCAGACGTGCTATGTCGAGTGCTTTTTGCAAGGTTAGATCCGATCCTACGTTTATAAGTTTCTCTCGTATTTTGTGTGTTCTCACACCTATTACTATTCTGTCTCTAACCATTTCTTCACTTTTGTCATAAGTGCAATCTTTGACTAGCAATTTTAACTCAGTAACAAATTGATCGAATGTCTCTGTTTCTCCCTGTACTCTAGTTTGAAATCGGTACCTGTGATAGATGATGTTCGTCCTCGGCTTGACATATTGCTCAAATTTCTCATAATGTACGCTCAGTTTCTTTCGATCTTCTTCGTCCAGATTCCAGGTTGCAAAGATATTTCTGCCTTTGTCTCCAACCCATATCATTAAATACGCACATTTCTCACTTTCTGTTTTCGACTTGAGCGGTCCGGTGAAGACAAATTCCGCATGTTGTTTAAATGCTTTCCATGACCCTTCGAGGTCATTACTTTCCCAGTTCATGTTTGGGTGAGATCCCATGAGGCTTTCCATCGTCCTTTTTAGAGATGATGGGCTGTGGATGGTGGTGATTTTGTTAGATCACTTCTGACACCATATAAAACACACTGGTCACAACATGGAATATTTATTAAACTGACTTCCGGTCATACAGATACAAAACAAGTCGTACATAAAACATTCGTAATATATGACATCCAAAGTTTCACTGTGAATTTCAATAACGCTGACAAATGAAAATGGAATTTCATTCACTGTAGATTTTTCTTTACGATTTTTGCGGCTTGTCCGAAATTTCATTATTCTTTCTCGGTCTGTGGTTTGCTTCCTCTTTGATTTTCTTGAGGTTCGCACTGTATATGTTTCGTCAGTCTGCGTTGCAACTGAGCGCGTCGATACTAAGAGACAGCACAGATAGTACGGGAATTCCTGGATTTACACATCCTTGCATAGTGTCCTCTACTCTCACATGATAAAGTCAGTGCGTTGCAGACGGTCCATCCGTGTCTTAATCCGCAGCGTCCACAGTGTTGCAAGGTGAAGCGCGGTTGGACTGGTCGCATCCATGCATAAACAAATGGAAACATGTCAATGATTAGGGGAATTCTGGTACGAAGGGTAGCGAACTCGCTTAGCTGTATGAGATTACTGGGATCTAACTACTACAAAGTATATGCAGTAGCCTTGGAAAAATTACCCTTAGGATTCTCCACCAAATATAACCGGTAGAAATACACAAGTCGGTGCTTCGTTTAATTATTTATTAACGGTCCAAACTTGGTGTTTACTACATGATCGGTATGTCGGCGTGGACAGTGCAAGGTCCAGTTTCCAACTGAAGATCGTGTACAGAACAACCAATTTATAACAATAATGAAAGAACAATTTTAATGAAGAGTTACTCAAGGTATTAATGCATAATTGACATAATTGGAAAATAATTAACAATCTAACTCAAGTACAGGTGTCATCAAATGTCTAGCGGTCAAGGTATATAATTATGTTATTTTAAGCACTAGATCAAAGAATATAATTATTACTCAAAATATGTTCATTTCACACGGTCACACCTAAATAAAAAAAAAATTATTGTTTGTATTTGCCTCCCAACACACAAATAATGCACCCAGGCTAAACATTTACGTTCATTTTTGAGATATTTTTTTTAAATAACATGATTATGTTTTTCAACATTTTTCCAAATTTTTGAGATATTTGAACTAGTTATTCTCATCTTCTTATTGTTAACAATCAACAGGATCAATGACAAAAAATAATGTTGATGAGCTTTATTCGATGTACCATGTTCACTGCTAAAAGAAAATCCATCTACCGGTAGTTTGTTCATGTTGTTATGCTTCCAAAATCTATTAGATATTTAAGACGTATAAAAAAATAATAAAGTTTGATAAGCATGAAAAGGCTATAGACATGAGAAGAGAAATTGTAGCATGCCTTAGAAAAATATTACTCTTTACATGTGTAATATAACAAATAAAAAACATTTTCAGACACTGCACTTTCTGACAAACGTGAATTAGAGTAATATAATTTTTCTAATGCAGTCACATCTGCCATCGCATTATGGGCCTCATATTCCTCTCTTAATAGATTGTGAACTAGTGTCTCTTGTTTGTAGTTAGGAAGCTGGACATCTTTCAATTATTTCTTGGTAATCTTGAGAATGTCTAAAAATCCAGTGGATGTTTGGCTTATATGTATCTCCATGAAAAGCAACTCATTTTTATTAAGATTGTATCATTATACATGTACGAGTAAATATATTAAAGATAATGAAACCGCTAAAAATTAGTCAATCCTAAATAGATGTACATGCACACGTACCTTCAAGAACAGACTGCGATGCATTCTTAGATTGCCTTTCAGCTTTTATTTCCAGTCTTCTTCTTTAGACGCTTGGCTGTGCATTTCTCAGGCGCTCTCTTGGCAGCGTAGTATCCTTGCGTTTATGTGTCTCAACTTCTAACGCATTTTATAGCCTATTGTGTATTTGAAAAAAAAAAATGTCAAAATGTATATCTTGATACGACTAACCGGTTAATCGGTCGGAACGTTTTGCGGTTAAGCGATTAGCAATTCTGCAATCGATTGCCATCCCTAAGAAATACACTTTAACAGATCAAACCGTTTCTTTCGGTGTCGATGTACATGTAGCTTGTGACACCGATTCTCTATGCTCTTCTCGTCTATATTAATAGAAGCCAGAAGTTAATCAGTGTGAAAATTAAAGATAAATTACTTAACATTAAAGGAAATAATCACCGCTACTGACACTTTAAATCTACGGAAAGCACCTGGACATGACTTAATAACGAACGAACATATAATACACGGTGGTAAAACACTCGCCTCATGTCTTATGAAGTTATTTAACGCAATTGTAAATTGCGGTCATATCCCTGGTTGCTGGAAACGTGGTCTGA